GGTACAACTGGGACTCACTGGGACACCAGTTATCCTGTCTAGACTCCTACCTGCTTTCTATCTCTAAAATGTACACTAGTTAAAGTCTCTTGAATCTTTGTAACCTCACTTCATCCCCACGGAACAATTTGTTCTTTGCCATGTTTGCAAAATGGAAGGTTTCCCATTCACAAATAAATCTGAATTTCCAAGTGTATAAATAATTAGGCACCATGTCTTCTGCTCCAATTGTCATTCTCCGCTGTCTAGGCTTTCGTTTCCTTTCTATACAATGAACAAATGCTAGCAACTGACCTCTGAAAGACCAGCTTTGTATCTGCTGTATCTCCTCCTAATACAGAAAGGTGTCTCCATGGTCCACAGGCATGAACCTCACTCCCTAGTGACTCTCTTTGAAAGAAGTCGAAGCTTAGATAGGAGAGCTAAAGTCTCTGGGGCAGAGAGAGGGTGAGTGAGCAAATGCTCTTGTTTCTTTGCCCTTGAGTCCAAATGTGTCCTACCAAAGCCCCAGGGGTCATGAGTGGCGAGGGACTCTGCTGCCCCCAGGCCTGTCCTACTCATGATAGCACTCTTTATTGACTTCTCTCTCTTTTCTTGATAACTTCTAGTTCCTAACATGTTCTCCAATTATTTCCTGTAAGAACTTACTTACTGCAACCTTCAGTATTGTGTCTACTACTCCTGTGGTCATCCACCACCAGACACTCACAGTCCTAATCTCAGTATTGCTGCCATTGAACACATCTTCCATACTATATGGAGCATGTCATATTATAGATATTCATTTTGAATTTGCTGTCCCCCAAAATAGCAAGTTTGTAACATGTGTCCTTGTGTTTTCATTCCACTTCCTGCACAATTTTGGTTATTTTTGGTGTCATCAATATTTTGGCGATTCAGTTTTCAATAATTATAGTATTGTAGGTTCACATTACCAAAAGTAGACATTAGCATTATATGACAGTAAAATATATAAGTGTAGATAGTATTTTGCATTTATCCCACATACTACTTACATCTGCCTCCTTTCTGCTTGTCTAGTTCTCTTTTCTCCATTTTTCCTTTCCATTTCATAACTTTTTCTTTTTCTATGATGTATGTGTGTACACATGTGCAATGATATGAACATGTATGCATGTGGCACATATCTGACCAAACACTGGTGTTAATATCCCTGACTTTGGCTGATTTTGCTTTAACTGACAATTTCCACTTCCATTCATTTTCTTACACATAGTCTGGCTGTATTCTTAGTATATAAATCATTCTCCACTGTACATATGTTTCAACTTACATATCCATGCATATATGGACTCTATTTAGCCTGTCTCCAGGATTCCATATTGAGCAGTGCTACAGAATACATAGGTATGTAGAGGTCCCTCTTGTATTATATTTGTTTTATTCCTTTGGACAAAAGATCTGAAGCATTATACCTAGACCTTCTGATAGTTTTATTTTAGTTTTTGAGGAAATGACATCTTTCCTCTGGCCAGAGGCATTGCTTGCATAGGATCCTGGATGATAGGAAATATAGGAAGCAAGATGGACACTAGCTGCCACTGCTTTCTGCTTCCTCTCTGTAGATATTACTCAACCATGTGCTTCAAGGCCTTCCCGTCTTCACTTCCCACTAAGATTGACTATCCCAGAATACTCTCTTCTGTTGGGACTTTTTTCTGATTATTTATTAGAGTAACAGAAAGAGAAGCTCAAATCTGGACATGTCCAACATCTTGGTTTCTCTGTCGTTACTGTACAATGTCTGTATACAGTTAAAATATCTGTACCTAAGAACTTCAAGACTGCCACAGTGTGTCACTAATGCTTAATGTGTCCTTTCCACCTCTACTGTACAGTACTGCTCCTACTTTTGACTCCCAGGATTGTCCACTGACATTTGAAGTCTAGAGAGATAAACAGTGGTAACTTTCATTCCAAGGGAAAATGAGTGTCTCTTGGAGACTCTTTGCATCTGAAAAAGCAACTTCCATATCCATAGAGCCTGAATTTACATAAAGAAGGACATGTCTTCCCAAATGATCACTGAGAGTGTAGCTGAGTAATTTAGCTTGCACTTTGACGTACTAGTTTCCTGTATTTGAATTCTGTATATTAGTTAATATATTTTCTTTATTGGAGAGGAAGCCACATACACTGCTTATTGCTTTGAAATATATATATTCAAATGTGTGTGTGTGTGTGTGTGTGTGTGTGTGTGTGTGTGTGTGTGCTGTATCCTGAAAGCAGAGATTCACTCTCATAGGATGCCATTTCTAAGCTGGCTTCAAGAGGTAGGTGGTGGCATCATGCTATTGTTTCACTTGTTCCTTGATGGTACGGTATGGAATAAGACAGAACCGTGGACCCTGCGTTGTTTACGTATTTTCAGGGCTCCACGTTCACTGCTGTCCTAGGTGTGGTTATTTAGGATTCCACGTGCCAGTTCCAATACTTTGACCTGAGCACACTAAGACATTGCTTAGCGGGCGGGCTCTTTCCCGGGCTGAATGTGAACTCATTAAGAAACAATCAGTCTGTTAAAGTTCTCAAGAGATCACACCAGACAGGGGGTTCCACATTAGTTTCTTGCTTGCATAGAACGCATTGAACAGAGAATGCCCTTGTTTCTTTAGGCTGGACTCTTGAAAGCAGCACCAGGCCAGAATGCACATTCCCCTGAGTCTTCTTGAGCATGTCCTCTCCTATGTCTCACTGAGATGTCCAGAATATTCAGTGTCTTGTCCATCAGATCTCACCAAAATGATGCCATTAATATCATGAGACAACAGGGAGTTCTGTTGGTATCCAGAGGTTCACATCTCATTTAAAATGTGTTGTGATGGAGAGGAGACTTAACACGGCCCTGAGTCAAGGCAGTAAAGTTACACGACTGCAGTGGATGTACCTCTGCTTCTCCTTGCATGGGTATCTTAAAGAGTTGATCTGCCAGTCCATTCTCTACTGCTCAGTCTAGACACCAAGAACTTGTTCAAAGTCACACTGCACATGTATCACATCAACTGCTATTGCCGGGCCATGTGGTCATCCACGGGTGACAGTCTCCAGCCATCTCTTTGACATGGGACTTCACATACAGGGACATGGGACAGATCAACAGTCCCTCCATTTTCCTGCCTTTAAAGGCAGCCCCGGCATCTGATATTTATTTTCTACCTCACCTGCAGTATGGTGAGGGGGGTTAGGTTGTTTCAAGGGTTTCCTGTGGCTTTTCTATTGTGCAGTTTTTACTCCGTGGCTCAAGGAAAGAAGTTGCTGGATTTCACACACATGCACTGAGTAAATGACCTTTAGGGACAGACTATGAGAACAGCCTGGGGAAGACACATTTGCTTTCTGACTGTCACGGACGGACTCCGATGGGGACTGTGTCTGCATTCTCATACCAAGTTGTGTGTGTGAGCTCCCATCTACTCCCTAGCAGCCTCCACATGCATGTGTATCATTCCCCTGGAGATGCGTGTAATAAAGGAGCAGAGGAGTCATCACTGTGTACACCAGCTGAGGGCTTTTAACTGGGGGAACCAGCCCGTTTTATAGCTGACGTGTCACAGCGCTAAGTACCACACCAGGACTGGATCTGGAGGAGTGATAAACCCTGGCCATTGCAGCAACTCATCTCTTCTCCTTGCTCATTTACCATTAAGATCTTGTTTTCTGGCTTAAAATTATTTCTCTTTTGAGATTCTAATATTATTACAGAATTTCCCTTTACCTTTCCACCCACCAAACCCTCTCCTGTATCACCCCTTTCTCTTTTTCAAATTCATGGGCTCTTTTTTCATTCTTGTTGTTACATGTACTTTGTGTGTGTGTGTGTGTGTGTGTGTGTGTGTGTGTGTGTGTGTGTACATATACATACATACAACCTAACCTACTCAGTCTGTGTCATGTTACTTGGATATATGTTTTCAGGTCTTGCTAACATAACTACCTAAACACAAGCTAAACAAAGACGATGATAATGGACATGTTTAAGGGGGCAAGAGAAAACCCATGAGGCCTCAGCCCTACACAAAGGACTATGGGAAACATCGAAATGCTGAAAGTGAGGGAAGTTGCCTTTCCCACGGAAGAGCACACCAATTGGTTATCCAATGCTATTAATACCTTTTACATATACATATGTACAGGCACGTAACATGCTGTAGCTACATAGACCTGGACTCTGAAATCACGGCCACACCAGTTTTGTCTATATTCACTCTGTTGTGAGGGGCATAAATGTTTCTACTGATAACCATCGGTCCCTCTGAGTTACATACCATACCACTCTACCTCAGTTGCCATTCCTAACTGATTGTTCATAAATCATTATATCCACCTTCATTCTTCCAGTTAAGTGATGCCACCTGGACTGTGGTTCACTACACACTTACCACTGCCATCACCCTTAGCAAGCTCAGGCCTGCAACAACATCCCCATTAACAAGAGGCAATAGGGACAGAGCCTGGTCCCAGTGCATCCCTGTTCTCAGGCTACTTGGCTTTCTGTGCTCACCTGACCTATTATTATGCATGAGCTGTCGGTCTAAAGCACCTGTATCTTCTGGGGTCATCAGATGTAATTACAAGAAAGTAAGAATGTGACTACTTGCAGGAAGGGAAGAGGTACCACAAAAATGACACCGAGACATGTGGGACCAGGACATAGAATGACAGGTGACAGCTCTCTTGGAAGAAATTAAAACAAAAGCCACTTAGGAAATAGTTCAGCAAGAACTGACAATGAGTCCTAACATGGCAGGAAGGAAATCATGTTTTCCATTCACCTGAAAAATGTAACCAGGAAAAGAAACTTGGCTAATTTGATAATCACCTGTTTATTAACCTAAACAATAACAGGGAAAGAATGCTGCCTGTGAGGACAGCAGCCCCTCAGCGGGGTATAAAAGGGAGCGTGGGCAGGGAGAGTCCCACTTCCAAACCTTCCAACCCACCTTCTTGTGAACTCACCCAGAACCTCCACCTCCGACACCATGGTCAACTCCTGCTGTGGCTCTGTCTGCTCTGAGGAGAGCTGTGGCCAAGGCTGCTGCCAGCCCAGCTGCTGCCGCCCAAGCTGCTGTGTGTCCAGCTGCTGCAGGCCCAGCTGCTGTGTGTCCAGCTGCTGCAGGCCCAGCTGCTGTGTGTCCAGCTG